GGGGGGGGCCTGGTGGGGGACGGGGGGGTCCTAGAACTCTATCTTGCAGGCGGGGAAGGACTCGTCCTGCATGACCACGGTGCTGCTGGAGGCCAGGACCATCAGGTTCAGCTCCTGCTGCCTCTCGTGGGTCTGCTGGTACCAGTCCCGGGTCACCTCGCTGTCGTGGGTCGGGATCAGGGTCACCTGGGGGGGGCAGAGGGGGGGGTAGGGTAAGCAACTGCTCTCAACAGGAGCCATAAGGGCCGAAAAATGTTGGGTCAGAAACTGGACTCTGAAATGAGATGAAACTAGACTCTTAAATGAGATGAAACTGGACTCTGAAATTAGATGAAACTGGACTAAAATTAAATGAACCTGGACTCTGAAATTAGATTAAACTGGACTCTTAAATTAGCTTCAATTGGACTCTTAAATGAGATTAAACTGGACTCTTAAATTAGATTAAACTGGACTCTTAAATTATCTTAAACTGGACTCTGAAATGAGATTAAACTGGACTAAAATTAGATGGAACTGGACTCTGAAATGAGATGAAACTGGACTTTTAAATGAGATTAAACTGGACTCTTAAATGAGATTAAACTGGAGTCTGAAATTAGATTAAACTGGACTCTTAAATGAGATTAAACTGGAGTCTGAAATGAGATGGATCAGAACTAAACTGGGAAGCTTTTCCTCTCTGATCCTGATCCGAGGCCCCCAGGTAGACGGGAAACCTCCCACTGCCTCCTGTCTGAGTCTATCAGGTGGACCGAAGAGATAAGATCAGACTTACAGCGTCTCACTGTGCAGTTGGATGAATAAACCCGCTAAAAATAGGAGGTGATTTTCTTCCCCTCTCTCTCTTGCCCTCTTCCTATCTCTCTCTCTCTTTCTCCCCTTTCTCGAGGCAGATACCCCCCTCCCCCTGGTTGTGTTCCAGGTTTCTTCCTCCTAAAGGCAGTTGTTTCCTCCCTGTGTCTCCTAGTGCTGCTCTTAGTGGGAAATGTAGTTCTTCTGGTAATAACTCAGAGTCTGAGCTGCTCTGGTTGGAAAGCTGGGAGATAGCTGGTGTTGTTGGGAACTGGAGCTATAGAAATAAAACTGAACTGAATTGAATAGTGGACACAGATGTGCTGGTACCTGTAGGTTGGACCCCCACTGAGACTTTCCCTCCAGCAGGGCGTCCAGGACCACTCGGCTCGGCTCGCCGCCGGCGCCGTCGTTCCCGCTGATGACGTAATAGGCAGAGCGGACGCGTTTGAAAAACTCCTGGTCCACGTTCTTAGCGCTGCAGTGGTTGGGAATGTAGGCCAGGTCCACGTAGATGGGAAGGCCGGGGGCGGAGCCAGAGCCCGGTGACTTCTGGGAGCCTGGAAGCACAAAATCCGACTTTCACCGTCAGGGGAAAAAAGGCGGGGAAAAAAGGCGGGAAAAAAAGGTGGGGGAAAAGGGCGTAGAAAAAGGGCGGGATAAAAAGGCGAGGGAAAAGGCGGGATAAAGAGGCGGGATAAAAGGTGGTGAATGTCAGCAGCTTTTTCAGTGCGTCTGCTCACCTGAGCTGCTCTTCACCCCGTTGGTCAGCCCTTTGCCAGGGTTGTAGCTCGACCTGGAGAGGTCGTCGTCCTTGGAGCCCTGTCCGTCTGACAGCCGGGACATCCTGGAGCTCTTGTCGGCCTCCTTCTTCTT